TGCCCCGACTGTTGCAGCCGAAGAAGCGGCAAAGGACAAGTTCTACGATAGGCTACAAGGGGTAATAAACAGCCTCCCCAAACGCGACATTTTCTTGGTTACGGGAGACTGGAACGCCCGTACTGGTCCCTCCACTCAAGCAACTAGACACATTTTGGGGGAATATGGTCTCAGATAGCAGTGCAGCAGTGGGGAACGCCTTGTCAGCTTTGCAGACTTTAACGGCCTAACCGTCATTGATACCCGCTTCCAACATCCCAAAAAGCACTTGCTAACGTGGTACTCCAACGACGGCCACACAGCGCGTCAGATCGACTACATCCTCGTGCGATCACGCTGGCCATCTTAGATTGAAGATTGTCGGTCCTACCAAGGCGCGGAGACGGGCAACAAAAAATTCACCGACCACACCCTCGTCCTTGCACGCTTCAGGATTCACCTAACCAATCGCAAAAACTGTGCTCCGAAGCGGATTAACACAGCAGCGTTGAGATCACCAAGAAAGCGTCAAACGATCTCGGACGCTATTGCCTCCCACCTAGCCACCACGTTCATAGGTGGGGAGGAAGTACACGTGGGAGATCAGTGGACTTCACTTAAGGCGTCGATCCAACAATCCGCTTTAGACGAACTGGGATTTACGTGACGACCAAAGAAAAACTGGATCTCAGGGGTGACTCTCCAGTTAATCGAAAAGGCCAGAGATGCCCGCCTAAATGGTCATCTAGACTTCCGTGGTATCCGAAGAAAAGCCACCCGCTCGGTTAGAAGCGACCGCAACAATTACTGGACCGAAATCACGGGAACCATGGAAACTGCGGCCAACTGCGGGGACTTGTCAAAGCTCTTCCGTCTGATCCACACTGCACCCGGTAAGCAACAGTCGACAGAACCCCTCCTTCGCGATGCTGCCGAGCTGTTCATTTCTGAACAGGCCAAAAAGATGCTGAGATGGACCGAACACTTCGAATGTCTATTGAACCGTCCCGCAGCGAGCTCTGCTTACCAAATCCCAGCAATCCAGAGCGAGAGATATGGCGGTAATAACAACCCACCGAGCCGAGATGATATCACCGATGTAATACTCAAGCTGAAGAACCGGAAGTCCGCTGGAGAAGATGGCATCGCACCGGAGATATATGAGTCATGTCTATCGACACCACTCGAGCCACTGCACACCCTGTTTTGTTCAATCTTGGAGGAAAAAACAATTCCCAGCGGACTGGGGGACCTCAGTTCTACTTCCTATTCCAAAGAAAGGCGACAGGACCGTGTGCGGAAACTACCGTGGCGTGAGTTTGATCGACGTGGCCGTCAAAACATTCTCCGTGCTTTTGTTGAACCGCTTCTCGGCGATGCGGGACGCGAACACGCACCAATCAAGGAGGCTTCCGCTGTGGCAGAGGGTGCGCGGACCACATATTCATCCTCCCTGTAGTATTGGAACATCGGTACAAGTTTCAGCCACCGACTGCAGCTTGTTTTATTGATTTTCGGGCTACCTTTGATTCAGTTGACAAAGAATCGTTATGGACTACACTATAAGCAGATGGAATACCCCAAAAGTTTCTTAGTCTCATGAGGTCGTACTACACAAATCCCCTCGCGAGAATACGCATCTACGGAGAGGAGTCCAGTGACTTCTTCCTCCCTCCCCTGTCGCCAATGCTGTTCAGCTACACCATCGACTGGATAATGCGTCAGGCGCTTACCGATTATACTGATATTCAGCTGGGCAACGATGTTTTCTTCGCCGATCTGGAATTCGCAGATGACATCGTCGTCCTTGGATATAGCGCAACTGCATTACAGACGGTTCTAAGTCGCGTAGAATCTTTCGCAAAATCCATCGGACTAGAAATCAATACGTCGAAGACCAAGATCCTTTCAACATGCACTGGACAGTCCACTCTCCCGATGTACTTGAACGGCGAACAAATTGAACACGTCCCGGCGTTCAAACATCTGGGCTCTACGATTCTCCCAAACGGCCAAGCCAAAGATGAAATCAAGTTGTTTATCGACAATCCCAAGTCTGCGTTTCTTCAGGTTCGCAATGTACTCTGGGCGCGAAACGAAATCAGCCTTCGGACCAAAATCCGCGTCTTCCAGGTCGCTATCCTACCTAATACTGACTTACGGCTGCGAGACGTGACCACTACGTGTGGAGGACATCAGGAAGCTGAAATTGTTTGCCCATTGGTGTTTGCGACGGATACTGAAAGTGCTATGGCACGTAAAGCTTTCAAACGAGACAATAAGACAACGGTACTTTGACATCGAAAAGCTGTCAGTGTTCCTTAAACGCCGACAATTGCAGTGGTTTGGACATGTCTTACGACGACTGAACCCAGAGATCTCAAGACAGTGCCTCGCTTCTATTCCATGTCCAGGATGGCGCTGTTGCCTCGAAGGACAGCTGAAAACACGAGTCAGTATCATCAAATCGGACGTTGAGGGATTAAGACTCCAGGCTGTTTACGATGTTCGCAACTAGAAGCAGAACTGGATTTCTCTGAGTTCAGGCCTCGCATCCGATCGCCGTTCATGGGCTGGTACCATTCGGGACATGCATGAAGCCGGCTCATCCTCTCGTAGGAGCTAGCCGCATCAAAGTAAAAGTAGGTAAGTAAGGAGGGTGTAGATGCAAGTTTTTGCCCTCAAAAAGACAACGAGGGTAAACCACAATTTTGGAGTAAACGTATAAGAACTGGATAGTTGGAATTTCGCTTCTAAAAGTATGACTCTCGGAGACGTTCATAAATATTTGGAGAGATAAACGTAATAAGCATACCAAGTTTTGTCGGCTTCTTCGGGTTGTACTCTTCTCAGAAACGCGTTGTGTTCTTCGGCATTGTCAGTACCAAATTTATCCGGGCCCAGTAAGCGGCCCATAGTAAATTGAAGCGTAAGTGATTACCCTCGAGGTAAATGTAGAAACTTTCGGAACTTCAATTCAGAATGCAATGCTTTACTCTACTAGTAATGAGCGTACGCGGGTTGAAACGCAAGTAAGAACAGCAACGTAATGACGTATAAAATCAAACCACAGAATGATATTGGATTAACAATGTAGAGTCTTGATCGCCTCAGTGTGCGATCGATCTTGGACGGACAAACGGGTGACAAATGGACGCCACAGGTAACTTATTGTTAATGGCTATACGTGCCTTGCGTATTCGCGACAACGTTCATTCGGTAACTTACTGTTGCTATGATGGTACAAAATGCGTCCCACATATCGCTGAACTGTTCAGAATATATCAGTTCGGTTTAGCTTTATTCAATTGGTAACCTCGCGCTCGTGTGCTCTGGTTTATTTTCCTAACTCAACTTTTCATGTCTCGAGAAATAATCCGAGGGTGGTCGAGTGGTTTAGAGCGTTTGCTTAATATCTCAGAGGTCCGAGGTTCGAATTCCCGCCATCGCCGGTTTCTTTCGTGGCAGACAGTAATCCACTGTCGTCCGGGTCATTACCACACCGGACCTATTAGGACCTTGTGTGGTTCTTCGCCACTCAGTCTCAGGATCTGGTTGCCGGGTAAGCCCATTGGTGTGGTAGGCCTTCGTGGCTATGGGGCAAATGCCCCCTTCACTGCATCCATGCGCAAGCATGTAATAAAAGCAAAATCCAAACCTAAAGAGCAAACAAAAGTTAGAAAACCTTGCAAACTATCCGGATCTCCACTCACATTAAACGTCCGAATACCGTATGGTAAAAACCGACTGTCTATGTAATCATTTTAATTACGAAGTTTGATCGAATGTTCAAATTAGAGTAATACTGATGAACACCACTCTTCGTGATAAACTCGGTCTCGGTTTTTCCTCATGCAGGGATTGAGAGCTATGAATTTCTCTGAGCTCCTTCAGTAATAGAACTGTGTGATAGACTAAATCAGAGCCTGCTTTTAGATCAGCTCGGTTTCAGCTTACTTACCCAATAATTTCGCACTTCTGTGCTCTGGTTTCGGCTGCAACCTTTCGGCATTATCCAGTAAGGGGCGAAAAAAATAGAAGCATAGTGATAAACATCCAAAAAGACGAAGTACCAAGGGGAAATCAAGACGACAGGGAAAAAGTTCGAATGCAACTACGCCCCTGGTCGTGACACCTAGCTATATCACTTAATGTCTCCAACCATTTGGTAGGCGGATCACGTGGACCCCAATATGGAAGTCTAACACGTCCTACTCTGCCAAGTCAACTGGTCAAAATTTCCATACTTGTTGCCATGTCATAGAATGAGCAACTCGACCTAACTTCCAATCACTACCTTCACCGGAGAACAGCTTGTGCCGAGCAAGTCTCTCGGTGGGCATGCGTAACGCACTTGATGCAGAGACTGAACTCTGGTTCCCAACACCTGAGGCCGAACCTCAACATCGCTGATGCGGTGTTCCCACCATACTCGGGCAATGCTACGGAGACATCGGTGCTCGAACACTGACAGTCTTCGCCTATCTTCTAACCTCAACGGCCATGTTTCTGAACCATATAAAAGAGCGGACCTAACCACCGCATTGTACACTCTACCCTTAACAGACTATCGGATGTCACGCCGACGCCACCGATAACGGAGGTTAGCAAAAGCCAAACGAGCCTTCATCCGAAATCTGTCCACCTGGTGAGATGTAGCTGGTTGCCGGCCATATCTAATGGTGTAGTGTGACTTTCAGGGTAAGAGGTGTATCCTTTCCACTACACCCGTACACAAGCGTGTAATAAAAGATTAAGACTACAGTGGGTCAGGCGTGGTAACGAGTCGGTAGACAGTGGATTGCCGTCCATCACTCCAATTTGAAACAGATTATGACTCAGAGTGGGGGCTGTTATTGTTTTGCGCTCCCTTGTTCGTATGTTTCCGGACCATCTCACTCATACATTTCGTATTTTTGTGCACTCAGCCTCATCATTGTAGCTCTGATTTGATGCTATACAAGAATTTTTAGCAACTGATCTCACTTTTAGAGCGGTTAGCATGTTTAACGACCGTTGTGATGTCTAAACTGGTGAGCAGAAGACTTCAACGATCTCATGTGTCCTGCCCTGAATGGGATACACAATCGACCACGGGGAATTCTTCCGATTTCTCTTGGTACTCGGCGGGTACATCCATCAACCAACGTGGCACACTGATCGACAATCGAGTCAAAGTAGTAGTCTCAGTGGAGCAGACTTTATACGATGTGGTGGAACTGCTGGAACAACGCCTGGGGCTCTGCTTATCTGACTGTCAGTTTTATCTGCAAGATCGAATCAAAGTAAGATTTCAAGATGTCCTTTTGCTTTAGGTCATGTAACTCTTTCCACAGCTTCGTGGTGAGTCCCCACTAGTGGAACATTGCGTCGAGATCTCTGGTCTCGTTCAATTACTTTTGGAAATCAAAACCGCCCACGGGGGATATCCGATACGTTTGAATGTGGTTGATATTCAAATTCCGGAACACTTGGATCAAAATCAGTCCGGATATTCATCTTCCAAGTCGAATTTACAGAGTCTAAGTTTTTCGGGTGCATCGACGGCAAGTACATTTCAGGTACGAGTTTCATTTTATCAGGTAGATCATGATTTTACATTCAGAGACATGCAACGTGAATGCATATCTGCTGAGTCAGGCATACCGTTCATATTCAACACTTCTTATTAGAGATAACATTGGTGTTATTTTTAAGTTTCACCGTCACACTCCAGACGATTCAAATTAGATTCTAGTGAAAATATAAAATCGGAGTGTACAAGTATGAGGACGAGTGGGCAGAGGAATACCGGGTACGCATACCTGATGAGCGGCAACAACCGCGAAACCGGTCATGTGCTTCCGGGGAAATTTTGTCCACACGTTAACATACTACATACTATCAATATGAGCGCTTGCACATGCAGCCTCGTTGTTCGTTGGGTTAGCAGTGACCCAGACACGAATAACTGAGAAATCACAGTTGTGATTCATTTGTGGGCTCTTCAATGAAGAGTATCCATTCACACTCCAGACGATTCAAATTAAATTCTAGTGAATATATATATATATATATATATATATATATATATATATATATATATATATATATATATATATATATATATACCGAGCGTATTCAGCCTCATCCGTAGCTTTTTAGTCTTAGAAGCCGGTTATTGGGAATGGGTGAATTAAATGAGATGTTACTCTGCCTTGTCATTCAAAACAGTTTAACTTTGATGGCAGACTTCAATTGCCTGCGCAATTACCATGGCTAGCCTCCAGGTGTCATGTCATTCTCTACCTCATTTTCACTTTCGCAGTTATCGATTTTCGTTTGTGGGGTAGTTGAATGGCGGGGTTATGGGTTATGCCCCTTGAGTTGTACTCATGCGTGAGCATAGAATAAATGGGATGAACATCTTTTTTTATCTCGAAGATAAATATTGGAGGATGTAGAAACATTTGGAGTTAAATAGTTTTTGTTAAACCCGCTTTCGTGCTACAGTTGTTCTACTTCATGTAGCCCAACCAGTTTTACACGATTGCTGAAGCACATTTCTGGTTTTTTGGGCGAAAGCCATACCACCAGTGATTTCACATATGTTCTGTTTGATCTGTTTATGTGTAAACGTTACTTTGGGTGGCTGGTCTGCAGTGTACTCTTACTCCATTTGCAGACTTCGTATGCCATCACATCTCGTTCGGATGAAACGCGTGTGACCAATTCCGAGACGGGATCACAAGGGACAAATGCCAGCCCTGAACCACCGTGTATTTCCCCCCTGTTAGTTGCCGTGGCAACAGCGGCAGCTGCAGATATTGCAGCTGGTGGCACGGGTCTTCCGGACGATGATCCCTCACAGAGGAAAACGAAAAGTGATGCGGACCACACAGGTTCCGACGCAGACCACGCTACTTCTGATGATCTGAATTCTTCCTACTCAACTTCTGTACATAGTATTGGAACGGTTTTTCCTGTACTTCCGGCAACCTATGACTTCGATAGTATTACTCGGTGGGTATCGGACAACCATTATCGACGTCTGATGGAAATGAACAATATTCCTCGTGATCCGGCCAAATGGAATTCCACTCAAGTTAGTAATGCGAACAACCTTCTGACCGCCATTTTTAATCCGTGAGAAAATGCCAACGTAAACAAACTTCAACTGATTTTTACATGATTATTGTTTTGCGCACGTGTCTGGTGCGCTATACTTAGCTTTGTTCACGTGACGCATTAAAAAGGACTACTGTTTTGGACATGCGTTGCGTGTATGCGTCGGAAAAAATACTTGGTGATACATTTTACGCCGTAGTGGTGAGCGGTGGAACGTAAGGCTTGTTCATCATTCCTTGATAGAAAGTAGGGAAAATTTTACACATTTACTCGTCTATAACAAAGGAATCTTGTATGGAGTCTGCGGACTTCGCCTACTCATCCTGACGCAGTAGACTTTCAAGGCGTCATTGTCCAAGAAGCAATAAAGACACGGTATCAGTCACTATTCATTCGACTGCTTTCTGTGTTTCCACCTAAAACTCCGATTTAATAAACTGATTAAGCATGTGTACTATCGCTCAAGTGTGGATACTAAGTTGTACGGCGTCTCTCAGACAGGGCTATCCTTGCTCTTCAGTCATTATCTGCTCATCATCAGAACTAGTCAGCAGCCTTTCAAACAATATGGTCTCGACGATGAACAATATGGCTACTTACTGAAGAGCATTATAAACGTACTTGTTCTGTAATGCACAATAAATGAACTACAGTAAAATGACAACTCCGTATTCTGAGGACACTGCAAGAGGAGTCTGAGGGCATTGTTCACATCAGGTTGTAGGTTTGTAGCAGAGCAAACAAGAAAAGAGTTTCCCAAATTTTTAAATTCAGAGAGAGAGAGAGAAAGAGAGAGAGATTATACGGGGCTTGAAATCAAGAATTATGCAATAACAATAGTCACAGAAATAGAGAGGGATGGAAGGAACAGGAGTACACGAGGCACTTAGTGATATGATACGTTTTTTTTTGTTGCTTTTTTCACCGTACACTTTTTGATGTATTTTGTCATTTTGTTTGTCTGAGTGACATTTTTGTATTTGTGGGATACGAGAGTTCAGTAGACAAACCGCACAGCATTCGTTCCACTGACTTCTCTTTTGCGCCATATCCCTCAACATCTTTAACTAGCGACAATTCTCATCCCTTGGGCCCCAACCACAGAGACGGGAGGCATTAACCAAAGTAAATGGTAATGCTAACTTCTTCATACTCTTGCGCCAAGTCACGGCTTGATTGCCGTGTCGTCCCTTCCAGCTTTGCCAAACATTTGCAAAAAGAACACAGAGAGGAAGACTGTGGACGACCATTCAGAGAACGTGTCCGAGCCTGCGGAGATGGTGTAGAGCGACCACTTCATTAAGGAAGTGGCTATCCGCGCCCAACTCGACTGCGTAGTTTGTCATTGCTCACCTAATGTTTCCACCAAATATGAGCAGTGCTGCGGAGACATCGGTGGTCATAAACGAAAAGCCGCTGAGCACCCTGAACGCGAGGTTGCCAGGTCTCGCAACCGTAGTGTAAGACACTACGAACCGCGGTGACGTGCACCCGTTTTTTAAGAGAAAGCCATATGTCACGGCGACGCCACAGGTGTAGCAGGTTTGCGAAAGCTGCTCTAACTCTCACTGTTCGTGAACTGATCTCCCCAACACCATTCCAAATGTAATCAAGCTCCTGGGACACTAGAAGTTACCGACTAACCGTTGGCGGTTTAGTCGGTTAGAGCACAGTTGCCACATCGGAGGTCGGAGGTCCGAGTCCCCACTGTCGCTGATCACTTTGGTGATAAACACTAATTGTAACTGTTATCCGGCTTGGTACCACACCCGTCTTATTTTGGGACCTTATGTGATTATCCACTGCAAGTCTAAGAGTCTGTTGGCCGATCATCCTTAACAGTGCAACGAGCCTTGGGGGTTATGTAGTATACTTCTTCCTACACTTATGCGCAAGCATGTAATGAAGAACCAGCTGGTCTCCCCGAAGGGTGAGTGTAAGCACAGGCTCCTGCCAATCTCGCAAAAGTACTCTGCACTTGGAACGAGGAAAGTACACGCAAACTTTGGATGTCTCAGTTGCCAACCGGTTCAGAGCTTGTACTACCTGTGCACTGTCACTCAGTTGGGTGGTATCATCGGTATACTGTGAGTCCAAAATTGTGTTCCGTGGTAGGAGTTCAACTCCATCATTCGGATGACCAGACAGAACACAGGCACATGCCATCGGGCACGTCTTCAGGCCGCGGATAGAAGGACAGCCACTTCGATTATTAACGGTGAATACGGTGTACTCACCAGATAAGTGGTTGTGGATGATCAACAGCAGTGCTCGAGGATATGATGCGATTTCCACATGGTTAGCGCTCTCCGCTCTAAAACGCCACAAATCTGCTGACGGCATTGTGAAGTAGCGAGTGTGACCCGCCACTAGATAGAACCATAGCTCCTTGCCGTGTTTCACTTACCTAACGAGGTTTCTCGGAAGAGGCGAATGAACCATACAGTTGAGCACCGGCTCATCTGGACCAAAGTTGCAACCTCGCGGGAAGCGCTTGACTGCGCAAAGGCTAGAGGGGTGTATCCCCAAACAAATAGGCCTGCTCTGGACTGTGACCGAATAGAACAACAGCCCACAACGCGTTCAACTATGAAAGATGTATCTAATGGCATTGACATGGCAGGCGGTGGAGTCAGTAAGGAAGCAGTGCAGTGCTATCATCAGTGAAAGCGGGTCTGCAATCGGAAGTAGTCGATAGGAGATTGATAAAATGCAGGATAGGTAAAAGTACATAACCTTGGCAATCATCCTGTTTGCAATGAGAGGCTGCAAATGTACCCCGTCTACTCAGACAGTGATTTTTCTGTTAATAAGAGAATTTGATACCTATGAAACAAGGGTCAAGCAGAAGCTGGATGTAGGTATAACAACAACTGATTTTTCCGTGGTGCATCCCGTTCACGACTTTTGATGAAAATTCAACTCTTAAATACTTCTATCATGTTTTATGTGTTCTTATATCTATTATACTTCCAGGTTATCATGTGGATCAACTGGGCATGCAAACAATTTCGCATCGAGGGGGTAAAGGGTGATAAACTGTTTGATATGCCCGGGTCACGGATGCTTGGTCTCAATGCAAGCGATTGGAGACGGTTGATTCCAAACGCAACAGTCAATTTCCTGACTCATTTGGAGCTGCTCAAGCGATGTCGTGAAATATGTGAGTTTATTACACACGTGTCGCTATTCATACCAACAGACACGATACGGCGATCGATGAATTAGAATGCCGCATGTGTCGCCTACCGGACCATTGACGTGTGCGCATGAGTACACGGAAGCGGTATACCCCACGGCATCAATGGCCTAGCGGACTATCAACGATAATGCTTAGACTTGGAAGGGAGAACCGCATAGGACGACCCCCGAGATACGCTCAGCATTGTCGGGATTCAAGCTTCACACCTCAGACTTATAGCACTCGACTGCCACCGGTTTAGGTTTCCTGTCTCAGTGGGCTTGTTTCCTAATTTCTCCAGAGCCCAACGACGATGTTTATCTGGTTGTTTCGTTAGTTGAATTGCACTGCGACACACTCGAATTGCTGCCCAAACCCGTGTGACAGCGCCATCTACAAACTAAATTCATTCCTTCCACATTCAGTGGCTCATCCACAGCAAGGTTTAATAACAACTATAAAAATGACAATAAAAACGATATAACAGTAAAGTTTCACTCAGGTCACCAAAGGGTACACCGTTCGACCGTGCATACATTCACGCGAGTTAAAAATTCCAGCGAGCATCATCCATGTTCAAATTGTAAGTCTCATAACCGTAGAGCAAAACTAATCCAACTGCGACACAGTTGACACGACTTTTCGGTTTAAGTTGAATACCAGGTCGACATAATAAGTGCTTCTAGACCAGTAACTTATCATAAGTCACCATCATTATTTTAAGACAGATGTTGAGACGTGTGTTGTGTGAAAGTATGATCCTCATCTTCTGTAACTGGCGTATCAATAACCGATAACCGCTCTTGAAGCATCCGCGAGGGTTCAAAGTGCACAGCAAGTAAATTCAACGGATTTATGTATCTGTCAAGTGCGTATCGTATATGCTGCGTGGATTTGAAAAATAGTGAATAATCGGTTCTGTTAGTATCCATTCCAGATTTAATCATAAATAATGGCCTCACAGAAAGAGCATCATCTGTTAATTACCTCGAGTTAACCATGAACAGGGATCTCAATTGTTTTGGTCATGTCACTAGTTCTGATAATCAGACGTCCGTGCGCAACGGTTTGTATTTTCATGCATCTGAACACGTTAGTCCTACGCTTCGTCTGTCATGTTCCCATAGCATCTTGGTGACGATTTCTAACCCATTGTTACATCTCTAAAGCATCTCATACGTTGAGAATTCCCCACAATAAACCGACCGAGTATAGCATATCACGACTACGTATTGCTGGTCTTATTTTTCGTGAAAGGTATTAGCTGACTATTCATATCTCCGTTCGCCAAACTTCATTTAATGTATTTCAATGTTCTCCACTAGATTTCACTTGAAACACCTATTTGCTGGTACAAATACCCACAGATCTTTGAATTTACGATGTCTTTCTCAGTTCCTTGCTTTACCCAGAACCGTCACTATCGACCTGCAAAGCGTTATTCGGTGCCACCAACCATAATAACTCCAGCTTCAGGAGCGTATATTATACTTGTTGGAGTACCGTGGAATTCATTTATTCGCGCTTGTCTGGTTGTTAGTTTAGTATTCAACCGCAGATACATGAAGTATTGACTTGACTTCTTCCGGCCTATGCTGTGCTTTCATGTAAAAGGTAGAATAAGGGGAAACACTTGTGAAAAGTAGTTTTTTGGAATATTTAACATCTGGCGTCCGCACTTATGGCAGATTAAAGTTATGTATGTAATCAATACCAAAACGAATTGTCGTCCAATGATCGTTTTTCTCTTTTTCGTTTCATGAAGGTGTCCCATACCAACCTCAGCCTCCGCCTGCCTACACAGTTACGCAACAATCGCAGCGCTTGTACCGCCAAATGAGCCGGTCTCGTCTGCGCAATTCTCGTCACGCGGGCGATTCCACATCTGCAATAAGTCGGGCGTACGGTGGAAGTAAGTCACAGATTTATTGGTTCCCATCTATTTACGTTATCTTGTTCCTCATTGTTATTATTTGTCGCTGTCGAGATGCAAAGTAACTGACTAGTTGCGATTATCGTATGTTGGTTTCGATTTATTTCAGTTTATTATCTTTCACTAATAATATTGAGATCTTTACTTGATGTGACGGCTTTTCACCTAGTCGCGGAAGTATGACGGAGGTTGCAAATAAGATATCCGGACAACTGAAGTATCTAAAGTCTTCTGGAGAGAAGGAACATTTCGAATTCAAAGCTGCATACAGTTAGCACGACGCAACTTGGACCAACTTCCACGGTCATCAGTTCAGTTAGTTCAACCAATGATCTCGCATTTTTGTGCTCCGCTTTTGTTTGCTGTTTCTCAACATCGTCCAGTTAAGAGCAGAATGAATAAAAGCATAAAATGAGCTGAAATCACCATGATAAAGAAAGAGCCCAAATGCAACTACGCCACTGGTCGCGATACTTAGCCATATCACCTAATGTTTCCAAGCATTTGGTGGGCGGGTCTCGTGGAATCCAAGCCGGAAGTCTAACACGTCCTGCTTAGTCCAGATTCTCATACCGTTCTGCTACGCCACGAACTGACCTCCTCGACTTACCTTCCAACAGTAACCTCCTGGTTCATCAGCCGTGGTAGTTCATTTCCTACTTTTTACTTTTACGTGACTATCTCTTGCTAGAGGATGAGTCGGCTCCATGAATATCTCATATCACAGCTGACCATGCGCGGCGGTTGGAAGCGAGTTCGGTACAAATCGCGATCTAGTTTTTCTTCCGTTGGCGGGCACTATAGGCCGGCCGTAAGCCTAGGCGCCTTACATCCTTCTCGACAGTGTTTATCCAAGTTTTGAGCTGGGCACCAAGGCGAGGTCCGGGTCGGAATGTTTGGTTAGTTCCGTCTCGGGTCGCTGTAGGATATGACACAGCCACCACGGCCGACGACATCGGAGAAAGTCTGAGTTCGTCAATTTCACAGCACTGCCTTCTAACTTCATCGTTGGATACTTTCGAGTCAATTTGTTTTCGAAATACGTCGGAGGCATCAGTGGTCAAATACCCCCGGCTTCCTAGCATCTCTGACTCTCAGGTTTCGCAGCCGTAGATGAGTACGGGGCGTATACTGGCAGGGTAGGTACGCACCTTGGTCCGAAGTCTGATTTCACTGCGGTCTACAGCGCCCGTCGTAGCTGGAGAAATGCTTTCCTGACGTTGTCTATCCGGAGTATTACTTCGTCCTTCGCTTGACTGTCCGGAAACAGTGTGAATCCTAGACACTTGAATGATGAAACACATCCAATCAGTTGGTCATTGGACAGTCATTGAGCAGATGGCTCTGGGCAAATTGACACTTTTGGTTTTCGTAGTGGTTACTTCTAGCCCGATGGACTTTGAAAAAAAATCGATTCAATCAAGGACTGTTTGGAGCGTGGCGGGAGAGTCCGCTAGCACAATAGTGTCATTGGCGAACTCTAGGTCCGAGATGTGCATCTCCTAACTCATTTGGATAACGGGATAGTCAGTCAGTGTCTGTCTCACTGTCTAGTCGATCGCGTAGTTGAACAGCACCGGTGAAAGAGGGCAGCCCAGTCGGACGCCAGTAGTGAGTGTGAACTCGGATGACTCTTCACCATACGTACGGACCCGCACCCTATTGGACGAATAGTATCTTGCCGGAAGCCTTGTGAGTTTATCGGGCATCCCGTCGGATTCCATTATCGCCCAGAGACGCTCTCGGTTAACTGAATGGAAGTCGATGAAACAGACTAATATTGGCTGCTGGAACTTGTGACGATGCTCTAGTGCTAGACGGTAGTGCGAAAATCTCGTCTACGCAACCTCTCCCACGGCGGAAACCCCCTTGATTCAATCGGGTGCGACGGTCTCGTAACAGAAGAGCGGTTGGTTAGCAGCACTCAGAGAATAATCGCAGCGGCATTGATCAGGCTGATCGCTTTATAGTTCTCGCACTCGGATTTGTCCCCCTACTCTGGGATGAGCAGCAAAACGGACGTACCCCAATCAGTCGGAAAGACTTCTTCCCGCTAAATGTGACCAAAAAGGGTGTGTAATCTGTCGATCCGTGATAACAGACAGCACTTGTAGACTTCAGGTGGAATGCCGTCTTCTCCAGTAGCTTTCTGGTCCTTCAGCTGATTGATGACGGGGACAATTTCAGTTGCTCTCGGCGGATCGCAACTGATATCGTACAGCTCTGCAAGAACTGGGCCGTCGTGTGAACTGATGGTCGTTTGAGCAACCGATCGCAGTGCTCTGCCCATCGCTCTATTTTGCTTTTTTGCTCAGGTATAAGCTGACCGGCTGTGTCGCGTAAGTGCTGCTCCTACTTGCAACGCTTACCCGACGCGTTGCGAGTGAGGCAGAATAGCTTTCCAAAGTCACTAATCCCTTCTGCAATCTCCATTTTTTCAGCTGCTCCTGTCTAATGCCGCTTACGATCAGCCTTAGCAGAGCGCGAGGCCTCACTTTGCAATCTGTGCTGTTCGCCACTTCCTGATATTCGGGCTCCGCGTAATTTAGCCGACGGTTAAATTGTGCCCTCCGAGACCCAGTCTTCCTGTCGACTTTTGATTGTCCCGAGTTCTTCTAAGGCAGCTTCTCTAACCGTCGATTTCCAGCGGTGCAACGTTTGTGCGGGTCGATGGCGAGGCTTTAAGACGCGTAGACAGATGGATTCTGAAGCGTGCACGAACAAGAACGTGGTCTGTATCGCTTGAGTTCCTATCATTGCGCAGCGATGCGCTCGAAGGTCTTCTACAAACGAGACCTCGCTAGAATATGGTCGATTTGATGTGAAGTGCGACCGTCGTTGGAGTACCACGTCAGTAAGTGCTTTTTACGGTGCTGGAAACGTGTGCTGCAAATGACCTTTCTGTTAGAGTCGACCGAATTGACCAAACAGTCACCATTCTCACAGCGTTAGCCAAGGCCTAATTTTCCCAGGACTTGTCGCGTTGACGAATCCGACGAACCCATGCGAGCTTTCCAATCTCCCGCGACAAACAGACAGTCACTTCTCTGGACCCTATTGATCAACTCCTTGAGGCTCCCGTAGAATTCATCTTTTGTCTCGTCGTCCGCCGCATAGGTCGGAGCGTAGACCGCAATCACCGTTAAGTTCTACGGGGAGCTCTTGATATGTGCCAAGGCAGGTCTTGCTGAAATTGGCTTCCAAGCAATCACTGCGCTGTTGACTTTATTGTTAATGGCGAATGTGACGCCGTGGCACCCGGAGTTGTCTGTCAGGTCGCTGTGATAAATCTAGTGAGTTGCATCTTCTGTACCGAGTCCCGGAGTTAGGTATGCGGACTTCTGAGAGAAAAGCTGTCAATTTTGAAGATGTGCAGTGTCCCCAGTGTGAGGCTTTGGCTGTCCACGTCTGATAGTGTCCGCACATTCCAACAAACTGTATAAACCTGTTTCCTACGGTTGAGTATTCCAGCTTGTTTTGACACCTCGAACGCTGGATGCACGAGGTGCGTCGCTTGCCGGGGACGCCGTAGCATGATCAGAGTGCGTGTTTTCGAAATTATTTATAGATTTTTATGGTAATATGGTACTAGACGATGTTCCCGGCACCACTCAGTCGCTCAGTCCGGAGTACGAAGTAAATTGACAGTACCTTTTGTTCTATGATGCATCTCCAGCCCTTGCACACCCAGGTGCAGCCCACCAGGCACTTCAATTCAAACAGATATTAACCATGCACCAGGTACGGTGGCCTTGGTTGTTATCTGTCAGCGGTAGCCTCAGTCGGAAATTATAAAGAAAGAAAATCGAAGTATGAAAGAGTAAACTAACTACAAGTAATACCAAGTCGGCGAGAAAAGGTTTTTTGAGTACAAGAGTGCCATTGGTCGCTACTCCGGGCCATGCCCCTCAGAGTATCTGACCACTGCATGAGGGATCTCTTAAACCCCTCTCAAAGCCTAACACACACCCCACACAAAGACGCACACAGTGGCCAGGTTCCTGTAACATACAGAAGAACTGACCTGATTGTTGCAGCGTACAGCGTGTTGAATACTACTGTAAACACCACTTACTACTTTAATGTTCGTTAGTTGTAAAGTATTGTAAATGCTACCAAGTATAGTGCGCCGCACAAGTAATGTTTGAAAGCTGCACGCCGTGCACATGTTGCAAACACGTCATGTGGGGCGTGTAAGAACGTGTGAAACTTAGGCGAACCACGGTCAACGTGCTCAGTTCCGTTGGATATCGCAATTCAGTTCAACTGTTGTTGAAAGCCTGAGGGTCAAAAGGACCACGGAGCAGACAAGCCTTCGCTGAGAGTTGCGTAATTGGGTACATCCGTGCGCGTGCCCACGTGTGCGCAAGCTTGGAATAGCAGTGAAAATATGAGTTACTGATTCTTTGCACGGTTTTCCTAGACTGAAGCCTCCCATCCTGAACGTAGCACAAATATTACGCATCTGAACGTGCATGGTGCACTTATGTAGTTTCGCAGTGGCGCGTTCATCAACGTGTTTTCAGCTCATCCTGAGTACGCACACTACAGTGCGGATGACACGATCGTCGACTTTCGTCCGCGCTCCTTTGTGTTCACACGGTTTGCACTGTCTCTGATATGGTCGGTCTAACTACGGTGAAGATAGTAGGTCTCAGCCTAACGAAATCATGCAAAGAATTTCATCTCAGGTATCCTGATCTGCCAGAACCGTCAGTGCAGTTTCGCGCACGTCTTGTTAATAGATTAACCATTTTTGGCAATGTTCATTTTTGTAAATCGTTCGGGCGCCCGAAGACTACTACCACAGAAATTCAAATTTTTGTCCTAAATAACTGTTGGCTACGGAAGCAGATACTTTCGTTCAAACAACCGCCAGCCAACTGGGAATCTCCTCGGGTTTCTTCATGTATATCCTGGAAAAACGTGGCTACAAGAGTTACAGATCCTATGCTCAGTCTAGACCTTGTTTGAGTGGG